AGTAACGCAGCGCCTTAACGCAAAAATGGCCTAGTCAGGAGGGGGGGGGGGGGGGGGAATCCTGTGAAGGGTGAGTGGTTAAAGTATAACTAAGAATCTATCTTTACAACATAATATCTCAATAATGTTGTATAACCAAAAATCTACTTATGTAAGACATATTACCAACTTATAAAACATAAATTAAATACATTGATACTATTAGAATATATATTATTTCATACTATTATTATTATACAGGATTTATATATTATTATTATTATTATACAGGATTTATATATTATTATTATACAGGATATTATATATTAATATTATTATACGGGATTTATATATTATTATTATACAGGATTTTATATATTATTATTATTATACAGGATTTATATATTATTATTATACAGGATTTATATATTATTATACAGGATTTATATATTATTATTATTATACAGGATTTATATATTATTATTATACAGGATTTATATATTATTATTATTATTATTATTATACAGGATTTATATATTATTATTACACAGGATTTATATATTATTATTATTATTATTATTATTTATTATTATACAGGATTTATATATTATTATTATACAGGATTTATATATTATTATTATTATTATTATTATTATACAGGATTTTATATATTATTATTATACAGGATTTATATATTATTATTATACAGGATTTATATATTAATATTATTATTATACAGGATTTGTATATTAATATTATATAAAGCCCGTATAATAAAATATAAATCCTGTATAATAACAATATATAAATATATATTGCCTCCACCAGCTAACATAATTCCCATAACATCCACAGACAGCTTCAGAAACCTCACAGCCTTTCTGCAGAGGATGACAGAGTGCATCTCCAGCCACGGGTGGACTGACAACTCATGGGGCCCCCCGGGCAATAGGGGATCATGGGGCCCGTGTCCTTGCACAAACTCAAAAAGGCCTATGAAAAAGGTACCAGAGGCATCCCATGGGGCCCCCTACTGACCCCGGGCTCTCGGGCAGTGCTCGAGTTTCCAAATGGTCAGTCCGCCCCTGTCTCCAACACATATCAAAGATGGCTGCTTGGAACGCACCGCTCAGCTTGAGCGTTCCACTCACCAGAAGTTGCGCAGGACGTAAAGACGGCAGACAGGAAGTGTGTCGACGCGTTTTGCCCCTCCCACAGGGCGTTGTCAAGACACCCACCTCCAGGCGCTTATATAACACAAAGACCATCCCCTCTTCTCCCATAGGTCAATTGATCCCAATAGGTATAATGCCACGCCCTTTTCTCAACCATTTATTCTAAGCCTTAAACATTTTATTACATACTTAAACATCAGTTCCATTTATCCTAGAATCACTACAAGATATCTGAGCCAGTGAAAACCTTAAACATATAGACCCAATAAAAACAGAAGGAAAAAAAAGAAAAAAATTAGAAAAAAATTAGAAAAAAATATTTTCCAGACCCCTTTTAATTATATTTATATATATATATATATATTTCAAACAACAAAATTAAAAAAAACAAAAATAAGAAAAAATGAAAATAAAGATAAAAATAGATATAAATAGTAAATGTAAAAAATTAAAATATGAAATAAAAAATATAAAAATTTAAAATATAAAAAAATAAAAATTAAAATATGAAAAAAAAAATTGAAATTAAAAAATAAATAAATAATACAAATGAAAAAGTACAAAAATAATAAATAGATATTATATATACACATATATAAGAATAAAAATAAAAAACAAAATGTATAAAATATTAATTTGCACTTGGATTAGCTACAAATTGGATAAAAAAACAATTTATGTCAATCTCTGCATTTAACCCTTTAGGGATCAACGTCACCATTTGGTATATCCATTTAGTTTAATTTTGTGAAATATTTTTGACCATATCACCCCCTTTCCACGGGACATCAATTCTATCTATCCCACAGACCTTTAAAGATGTGGGATCCCTGTTATGACATACTCTAAAATGATGTGACAAGCTATGATATTTAAATCCTTTCTTTATGTTTCCCCAATCTTACAAAGAGTTTCCTAGTAGTTCTACCTATGTACTGGAAATGACAAGGGCATTCCAGCAAATAAGTAACATCAGAACTATCACACAATATAAAAGAGGAGGAGGAGGAAGAGGAGGAAGAAGATCTAAACCTTTGTAATAATGTCTGACCTTGAAAAATACTTTCATCACAATTTTGTTTCAATCTAATAAACTGACTTTTGGGAATAGATCTTAACCAGTTACTATGGTGACAACTATGACTTGGAATGTATCCATTCCTGTCTTTTAAATGTGTTTTGGTGCAAAATGTATTACCTTGTTTATAAATCGTTAGATCTAGAAAATCTATTACCTCCTCACTGGTATTAGTAAATTTTATATTAAAGGGGTTACAACCCATTTTTTGAATATATTCCTCCAATCCTTCTCTTGTCCCCTCCCATATTATAATAATATATAAACCTTCTATAGACCAACAATTCCTGGTTCCTATTCTCAAAAATGGCTTTACTTTCCCACCTGCTCATGAACAGATTTGCCACCGACGGTGCATTTTTGGCTTCCAATAGCCACACCCATTGCTTGCCTATAGAACTTGCTGGAATGCCAGAAATAATTGTGTGATGTAGCTAAATCAAGACTTTTGAGTATAAAATCTTTTTGCTTGGATTTCAACCCCGATTTGGTATCCAATGCCCATTTGACTGATCCTAACGCATCCACATGTCTAATATTTGTGTGCAGAGAATTCACATCAACACTTGCCATGACCCAGGGGCGGACTGACTATTTGGAAACTCGGGCACTGCCCAAGGGCCCGGGGTCAGTAGGGGGCCCCATAAGATGCCCCTGGTACCTTTTTCATAGGCTTTTTTTGAGTTTGGGCAAGGACACAGGGGCCCCATGATCCCCTATTGCCCGGGGGCCCCATGAGTTGTCAGTCCGCACTTGGCCATGACACAATCTCCTTCTTCTCTAATACCCTTAAGTATGCTAATCCGATCACCATTATCTCTCAAATAAAGTGGAAAAAAAACAGGAACTACAGGCTGCAAAAACGTGTCAACATATTTCCCCAGCCTAGAAAACAGGGAATCAATCCCACTAATAATGGGTCTTCCAGGGGGCTTCTCCAAAATTTTATGAATCTTTGGCAGTTGGTATATAACAGGTAGTATTGGGGCATTAGGTACCAATTATTTACCCTCCTTCTTATTAAGTAAACTTTCCCTCTCCCCTTCTTTAATATGTTTCACTAGCTTACCTTTATATTTTTTAGTGGTGTTCCCTTTTAGAACTTCATAGGTGTTAACATCATCAACTAGTCTATTAAGTTCTGTGTAATAATCACTTTTATTCAATACCACAACCCCCCCACCCTTGTCCGCTGGCCTAATTACGATATTTCTATTTTTCTCTCATTTTTGAAGTCCTCTTATCAAGGTGTCCGTTTATGACACAGAGAATAGCTGCGATTCAACAGATCTCAGCTATTCTCTGGTCATTCAGAGTTTATGACACTCAGGAGATCATGTCAGCCCTTCTCTGGAGATCTGTGTTCTCCCTCCAGATTCTCCAGCCCAGAGCTGGAGAATCAGAGGGACCGAAAAACTAAGCAGAGATAATTTACCTCTGTTTAGTAAACTGATCTTTTACTGTAATCTCGCGAGATTATAGTAAAATGAGCCGTTTTCCAGAGTTTGTAGACCGTTCTCCAGCGTTTGGAGACCGTTCTCCCTTCGTTCGGAGAAGAACTGCCTCATAAACTGCATTCACAGGAGAACTGTGTTCTCCGAGAATGCCGGAGAACTGAGCAGCGATCTATTACCACTGGTTCATAAAAGGACACCTATGTCCTGTTTCCTTCTCATCCATGGGACAGACAAATTTTCTAAATTGTGTTCCACCATCTTCTTAAGGCTACGTTCACACTAGCGTTATGTGTAGGCGGCAGAGAGGCGTTTGGGAAGTGTTTTTACCGCTTCCCAAACGCCTCTGACAATTCTGCATATTGCAGCACATGGTGCTGTTCTAACGGGAGCATTAGCGTCACGGCAAAACGGACGCCTCTGGTCGAGTCACGAGGCGTTGAAGCCTCCTATTCTAGTCTATGGTGACGCTCCGCAAACGCCTGGCCGGCGTTTGCGGTGCGGTTGCGGGGCGTTTGCGGAGTGGTAACACCATTTAAACTTCATTATAGGCGTTTGTGGAGCGTTTTCAACGCTCGGCAAATGCCTAGCAACTGCCACTAAACCGCGCATGAGGCGTTTGCGGAGCGTTTGCCTAGTGTTAAAAAACACTCCGCAAACGCCGGACCAACGCTTGCCAAACACTATAGGGGCGTTTGGCAAGCATTGGTAAAACAGTCAAGTGTGAACGAGCCCTTAATGCATCCACACAACAGTTATTACCTATCTTGGGGTTAAACACAGACTGATTTCTCAACTTCGTATGTAGATATGGTTTCTCAGTTCCTCTCTTAACCTCCCTAGCGGTCTGATTATGTCCATATTTCTGTGCTCAAAGCGGTACATTTTTTTGCATGGAAATATGTAGTTTTATTATTGTAGGCCTGTAATTTTTAGGAATAACTCACTGAAATCTGTCTGAACAAGAGTCTAGTAAACATCCCGGGGAGGATAAAATTTGAACCACGAAATCATAAATTATAATTTAATAAATAATCATAAAAAAAATAATAATATAATAATAATACATTTAATTCAATAATATAATCAAACCAAAAACACTGAAATGTGAAATATAGCGCCAAGTTCGCACATCGCTGAGCAAAGTCGCAGAATCGTTTTCAGTGTCTGATGAGGAATTTCCCCCACGAATCATTATCACTCAATTCTGCAAGTGGTTCTGATTTACTATCGCTGTTCTCTAGCCGGTCTAAAACCGCTTTTGACCTAAAGGGACCCTTTTTGGACGCCATGGATGTTTCTCAGTTTCCAGGCAGAAAGAACAGTAAAAATGCAGGCAGGGCGCCGGACAAAGCACTCGGGACAAAATGTATGTGAAATGGTTTGATACAGTAATATTGTACTATGTGATTTTAGTGAATTTAGTGAATGTCACTTTTTGGCATTTTCAAATTTCCTGCCAGTTCCGTCCCCCGTACGTCCCAACGCTCGCAGGAGACGGAACCCAGATGACAGCATCCACCGGAGGACATTACAGGGGACACTGCAGGAGGGACATCGTGGGAGCGCAGGACAAGGTAAGAGAAGAAGGGATCCCTATGCAACGCTGCAGTGTATTCCCGAGTGTAGCTCGGGGTTACCGCTTGTGGTACTAAAACTTTACCCCGAGCTACACTCGGGAATACCGCCAGGGAGGTTCATCTCATCACTAATACTTAAATATGGATCATCATTTTTCCCGTTTTTACCAGAGCTGACATTCCCAATATCCTTATTAGTTTTATTATTCCAATATTTCTTAAGATTCAACTTTCTAATACATTTATGCAGATCAATATACGTTTTTAATTTTGTTAAGCTTTTTATCCGGAGCAAATTTTAAACCCAAAGATAAAACCTTCAATTCCTCATCATTTAAAACACAATCACTGAGATTGAAAATCCCTTGGTTTACATCGACCTTTTTCTTTTTCCTCTTTCTCCCTCTACATCCCCTCCTTCGCCAGTGGGGTCTTGATGGAACACAGGTGGTCTCCATCCTCCCCTCCCTCTTCTGGGAAGGTGATAAGGTCCCCCTCTTCTCCTCATATGGAATTATTATTATACAGTATTTATAAAGCTCCAATAGTTCGCTCAGCGCTGTACATTACAAAGGGGGACAGAACATGTGACAGAACAATACCAATACAATGCAAAACATGAGGGAATTGAGGGCCCTGCTCTTTCGAGCTTACAATCTAGAAGGGAGGGGATGGTGACACAGGAGGAGATAGCTGTGGAGGAGTTCGGCAGGTTAGCAGGGGGTGGGGTAGGCTTCCCTGAAGAGATGGGTTTTCAGGGTGCGCCTAAAGGAGAGGAGAGTAGGTGATAATCTGATGGGTTGGGGCAGGGAGTTCCAGAGGATGGGTGACACCCTGGAGAAGTCCTGGAGGCGGGCATGGGAATGATCCCCTTGTTCCTACCCCCCCCTCCAAGGGGGTCCTCCATAGCCTCCTCTTGGAAAAACCTCTCCATCTGTTTGATAGCCATATCCCCAGGGAGATGACATAACCCAATCACTTATCCTCCCTGGCGGTGTTCCCGAGTGTAGCTCGGGGTAGAGTTTTAGTACCAAAAGCGGTAACCCCGAGCTACACTCAGGCTTACCATGCGGCGCTGCATAGGGAGTCCCTGCAGCACTTACCTTGTCCTTCGCTCCCGCGATGCGTCCCCTGCAGCGTCCCCGGCCATCTCCTCCGGCTAATGCCGGCATCCGGCTTCTGTGTTCCGGTCCCTGTGACGTCGGGACGTACGGGCGGCGGCGGGAAATTTGAAAATTTAAAAAAATTTAATTTTTTTCAAAACACATTTTTCACAGTAAAACATTGCTGTTTCAACCCATTTCACATACATTTTGTCCCGAGTGCTTTGTCCGGCGCCCTGCCTACATTTTGTCTGTGTTTCTGCCTGGAAACTTAGAAAAATCCATGGCGTCCAAAAAGTATCCCTTTAGGTCAAAAGCGGTTTTAGACCGGCTAGAGAACAGCGATAGTAAATCAGAACCACTTGCAGAATTGAGTGATAATGATTGGTGGGGGAAATTCCTCATCAGACACTGAAAACGATTCTGCGACTGAGCTCAGCGATGTGTGAACTTGGTGCTATATTTCACATTTCAGTGTTTTTGGTTTGATTATATTATTGAATTAAAATATATTATTATTATATTATTATTTTTTATGATTATTTATTAAATTATAATTTATGATTTCGTGGTTCAAATTTTATCCTCCCCGGGATGTTTACTAGACTCTTGTTCGCACAGATTTCAGTGAGTTATTCCTAAGAATTACAGGCCTACAATAAAAAAACAACATATTTCCATGCAAAATAATGGTACCGCTTTCAGCACCAAAAATCTGAAATAATCATACCGCCAGGGAGGTTAAAGGCTCAAACCTATTTTTTTTCGTGGGTACTTTATAGAGAGGTGTATTATTCCCATTAACATTTCTACATTTTCCAATAGGGGAGGAGTTTTTATTCCTGTTTTGGGAGAAATTATTAATTGTATATTGTTTATTTTTGGATGGAGATGATCTTTGTATGGGATCATTAATTACTCTCTCTATTGATGAATTCCTAGATTCTCTAGTCCCCCTATTTTCATCCTCCTGCCATTTGCAAACAGTATTGGATTTATAATCCTGAATATCCCTACAATAGTTTTTGATTATTTTCTTTTGCATGTCCTCATCTAATTTTTTTATATAATCCTGAATATGTTTAGCCTTTTCTTTAAAGTCATTAGACTCACTAAAAGGTGCCATTTTATCTCTCAAATTATGAATCTTTTCCTCTAAAATCCTCAATTTCCTTTTCTGCACAATTATTATACAGTATTTATATAGCACCAAAGGGTTTGCTCAGCTCTGTACAATAGCGGGGGGGACAGAACATGAGACAATACGGTACAATACAATACACGAGGGGTTCGAGGGCCCTGCTCTTTTGAGCTTACAATCTAGGAGATTCATTTCATTAGTTTTTATTTCACATGACTGAAAAAAGAGAACCATTCTTCATCCAACTCTTTCCCTATCAGACCATCACTAGGAGCTATGTCCCACCTTAACCTCCTAGGTGTAATCCCTTCCTTAATATATTTCACAAGAGTTGAGACATCCCACCATGTCCTAACCTGTTTGTCTAATGAATTCTTTACATGTTTGAAACCTTTGGTTAAATCTGTGTGTTCATAATTCTGTAAAAAAATATCTTCCACATTAACCCTTTTCTGGGAAACAAAGTTAAATATGTTCATGGCTGCTAGGTCAAAAGAAGTGGTAAATACCTCAACTAAAAAAATAATTTTTGGGGGTGTTTTTTCTGTGTCGCTGGGGTTTGCAATTTATTAATTTAATCACTTCCCGTCCGGCCTATGTATATAAACGGCCAGACAGTGGCAGTTCAGGGGCGGGTGGCCGTTTATAAATGGCCTCCCCGCCCCCTGCTTGTGCTGCTCTCTGGGAGCGTGCAGCACTGCAATCCGGTGCCCGCTGTGTCCTCCAGACACAGTGGAACACCGATCGCTGTACAGGACCTCTGTGCGAGGTACCGATCATGTGATCACTGATTGGCCAATCAGTGATTACATGAAGAGTAGTAAGCAAGATGTCACTTGTGACATCATTGCCTTCTACATGTGAAATCTGTGAATGATCACAGAGGTCACATGGTACAGGGCTATTCACAACAGCCTTGTACCATGTGACAAGCTGTGACCAATCACAGCTCACACAGTATTTCTCAATGGCTGCAAGAATGCAGCCAGAGAGAAGGAGAAATGATTGCTTTTACAGCCTTTATGGGTGTAAAAGCAATCAGTGTAAAAAAAAAAAAAAACTTCATAACCCCCCACAAGTAGTACAGTGTCACTATGGTGACTCTGTACTGCTAGGGTGACAGTATGTAAAAAAAACCCATAAATAATAAATATAAAAAAAAAAAAAAAAAATGTAAAAACATTTTTTTTTTAAATTATAAGTATACGTTTTGGTTATAAACTAATTTTTGTTTTTTTTTTTTTTTTTTTACTTAAAAGATAAATTAATAAATTTTGGCCAAGATATATGAAGAAAGATGATATATTTGCAAAATTTTATAAGAAAAAAACACTTTTTTTTCAAACTTTTTGGACTTTTTCCCTTACATAGCAAAAAAAAAAAAAAATCCCAGTGGTGAATAAATACCATCAAAATAAAGCTTTATCTGTCTCAAAAAAATGCTAAACATTTCATATGGGTGCAGTGTTACATGACCGCTCAATTGTCATTCAAGTGTGACAGCGTTGAAAGCTGAAAATTGGCCTGGGGGCAGGAAGGGGGGGAAAGTGTCTGGACTGGAAGGGGGGGAAAGTGTCCAGACTTGAAGTGGATAATAAACTCAGTACGTGCCCCACCCAGTGTCCTTAGGCTGACATTGTATCAGTGCTATAAATATGGGAGCTCCGTAGACTGGTCCCAGAATATCTGGTCTACTCTGAGAGCCATTGTGAGGAAGATGCTGTTGAGCTGGATGCTCCTCCACTCCCCGCTGATCCACGGCTTAGAGATTTCTGTGACCAATGGTGGTCAATGGGGTAAATGGGGATGGATGGATACCTGCCCTCCTGGAACAGTAGCAACAGGCTTTGATTTGCTGGTAAGTGATCCCAAAATGTTAGATTTGACTGAAAGAGAACCATGTGCCAGAATCTGAAGGTCCAGTCTGAAAGCAGAACTGAAAGCAAAATTATTGGTTTCATTTTGTATAGAGTAAAGAGGGTTATAACCCCCTAAGTTTTTTTTTTTTTTTTTTTGCCATCCGTGTCCAATTGGGGAGATTTCCATTGACTTCCTATCCCACAGCCAAAGCAGGAAGTGAGAGGAAATCCCTACAAAGTGAGTAGTCGCCAGAACTAGTGTCCCCTTTGGATGATTTCCCCTCTATTCCTGTTCTGGCGACAACCCAAAATTTGTAAGGGAGACAAATAGAAGGGAAAAAATCCCTAACAGACAGCAATAAAAACCTGACAAGGGGCTAATCCCTCTCCACTGTGTCCAAAACTTAAAAAATAAAAAGTTCTGCCTTTTAGTTATACTTTAAGCCCTTTTCCACACAGCAGACTTCCATCTCCAGCTACACCTAATGCATTTTTAATTGCCTACCTTTTCCAGATATCAGGCCAGTTATGTGTGGTGTGCAGAGCCCTTTTGTCCTTCAGATCTTCTCTTGGTGGTGGATGGTCTAATTCATGGTTAACCACTTGACTGCCAGAGCATTCTTTTTAAAAAAAAAAATTCTGCACATGTTAAAATCTGCATTTTATGCTAGAAATTAATTTAACCCCCCCCCCCCTCCAAATTATATATTTTCTGAAAGCAGAGATCCTGGAGAATAAAATGGTGATGATTATTATACAGGATTTATATGGCGCCAACAGTTTGCTCAGTACTTTACAATATAACGGGAGACAATACAGTTCAATACAAGAGGGAAAGAAGGGCCCTGCTCCTTGGAGCTTACAATCTAGGAGATAGAGGTTTTTTTTTTTTTTTTTTTTTTGACGATATTGGTGCCGTTATGTATCAAATGCGTGTTTACAGTAAAAAATACGCTAGAATTACCG